TTGTGTGTGTGTGTGTGTGTGTGTGTGTGTGTGTGTGTGTGTGAGAGAGAGAGAGAGAGAGAGCGAGAGAGAGAGAGAGAGAGAGAGAGAGAGAGAGAGAGAGAGATTGCACCGGTCAATTGCCTGCACCATGAATGCATCACCTGTCTTTCTTTTTCTGTGAGCAAAGCCACAACAGGTCGTCTAGTCTTACTTTATAGCCGCTAGTTTGGTCTGTAGACTGCTAACCCTCTGCGATTACCCCATAGTTTGCTCAATTCCCTCTCTTATATTTGTGGTTGCCCCTTTGTTTGCTTGATTGCATCTCTGTCTGTTCCCTCCATATACTCCACATAATCTGGCTGCACATGCGCATTCATCTGTGATTGATGCGGCCTCCAAATCTCGTTGTGTTCTTTGGACTCCTTTTTCCCATGGCTCGTCTGCATGGAAATGGATACTGAAAAAAATGGTATTTGCTCTGTTCTCTGACGCCAGCTAGTGATCGCTCTTCCCTGGCATGTTGATGAACTTGTTGACTTTGCAGGCACGTGGGAAGGAACTACTTCACCGGTCCTCTCCCTAAAGGCCTTGAAACTAAAAAACTGTGAGCTCTCATTGATCCTCTATCCACTGTATGCACTGTACACACATGCTTCCATAGTGAAAAAATGATCAATCATCCAACTTTGTTGTCTTCTATGTAAGGACCTGCCAAAACACGGACTGAGAACACAACTGATCTCTGAGTTTTGCCGCTAGAATGAGTGCCTTACTGAGATTCCCACTTTCTGCTGAGTTTTCTAAGTCTGTGTGTGTGCATGCTTGCTGGTCTGTGTGCCTGTCTGAGTGTTTGTCAGCCTGAGTGTGTGTTTGACCTGCAAGGGCACTTAATTGTTTGGAAGGCCCCACAGGGCTGGTACTTACCTGTGGCCGTGACTTTGAGGGTTGCAGCGGTGAAAACATTCAAGTGGCGGGAGTGGGCCTGTGACACTGAGAGCAGCAGGGGAAAAAACACTCAAGTAGYAGGTAGGCCGGTACCACTCAAGTAGCGGTAGATGTGTTGGGGACTGCAGGCTGAGCAGAACAAGACAAAAGTAGCATTTTTAGCGGCCCAGTAGCGGTAGGCTAGGTCTAGGCAGATACCAGTCCAAGTAGTCTGTAGTCGAGGACCTGTGCAGACAATATCAGAGCCTCAAATGATGTTTCCTCCGAAAGGGTGGAGGTACCGGTCGCTTGGAGGCCACGCCACCTGGAAGTGACCGCCCTAGGAGGCTGCTGCCTCGCTATATCGTCAGGAAGAGCAATGAGCTCTTCCTCGTTTGCAGCATGCAAGTTTGGGTGTCATGCTGCTGGTGCGCTGGAGGAGCAGCGGTAGTGTGCAGCGCCGTGGGGAAAAAGGAGCGCCCAGCTCCCCACCTTGGCCATGGTGGAGGAGTTTGGGTAGTAGGAGGAAGAAGGGAACTGCAGGGCCCTTAGTAGTCTGCCATAGCCTCGGCCTGGATGAAGACGGAAGAGGAAGGCGGCCATGGCTATGGTGGACCTCAACTTGTGCTGGGAGTAGAAGTGGGATTCAGACATTGATTCTGGGTTTGCCATTCATTTTGTTTGCTGGTGATCTTCTTCTTTCTTTCTTTTTCTTCTTTCTTTCTTCTTCTTCTTCTTTCCCTCTCTCTCCTCCCAAGTTCCTTCATTTCTTTTGCAATCGGACGACACTGAACTTTCTCCAAGTTTCTCATGATTTTGCACTTTGAAATGGGTGAGGATCGTAACATTGGTATCGCAGTGGATTCTACTTGCTGGCGAGAGTTGACTTTGTCACCCCACCCTAAACTAAGTGGTTGGGCTACCACTTGGGGTTAGGGCTGGTTCGAAGTGGGAAGTGGGGCAGCGTGGTAAGGGGAAGCTGCCTCCTTCTGGTTAGGCCATGTTGGGTTGACATTGGACCTGACCACGTTGCTTGGTGTGGCGAGACACTTCAAGAAGACTTCATGCGACAGTTTGTGAGGAGACAGTGAAAGGCACTTGCACCTGGAATCTGACCTAAGGGAGACACTTGGCGACTTAAGGGCTTCCCTCAAGTCGGGGAGCTTGATGGAAGTAGCCATTCTGCATCGACAGAGTACACGTTGCTACTTTGATGTTCAACAATGGCGGGGGGTCCGGCGTTGTACTTTGGTGTTGGAGTCAGACCCTCTAGTAGATAGGACACTAGTGTAGAGATAGCATTAAAGGGGTCAGGAGGACCATATGAGGGGGGGGTGAGTTCTACTTCAACCCGAAGCTCAGGCCACTCAGGTAAGTGTTGGGCACTTATGGGATGCCCATGTGTGTGTGTGTGTGGTAATGTTTGTCCTGCTGCGGTAATTCTGGGTTTCTTTTCCTACTCCTCTATGGTCTTGATTGTGTGCATGAGTATGTAAACTGCTTTCTCACCTAATTGACAAAGGATTTGAGCGCCATATCTTTCTACAGTGCTTTGTCTTTTTATTGTTGAACGGCTGTAGTTAGTACGTTCTCTCTGAAGTTGATTTTCGTTTTTCAGTACGGTAGAGGCAGAAAGTAGGTCCATGTGGGACTCCTTTTGGTTGGGACTCGGTCACGGCCTACGTGGGACCCTTAGGTACCTAGTGGGACTAGGCCCAAGCAAGTAGGGCCTCTTAGGCCCAAATTTGTTGGCGTCAGTTTCTTCTTTTTCTGTTTGGAATTCGGGCTTTTATTCTTTTGGTTAGAGCACTCACTGCCGAGGGGATTGGGTCGATTGGCCGAGACGTTTTGCATACTTGACCGCACAGTTCGTGGCTTTGGTCGCACCTTATACACCACTCAATTCTCCATTGTTGCATGTTGTTACTCGATGTATGAATTTGTTGTACGTTCACGGAAACGATCAGAATGGGCTCGAGGGGATCTAGTACTCGATCTGATCAGGCTGAGACCTGGATCAGAACTCTCATCTGAATTTCTTGTTTTTATTTTTTAGTATTGGCTGCTCTCTAGCGGAAACGTATTGCTGCTCCGGCTAGGAGTTTTTCCTTCGCTTTCTTTGTTTTTTTGGTTGGTTTCCTTCGCTGACTTTATTTTTCGATGCCTGTGGTAAACGAAGAGAGAGAGGGAGAGACCTGTTCTGCTTGCTGAGAATTCCAGTAAGACTAACATGGCTACGGTAAAGGCTTCCGTGGGCTTGAAAGCCCAGATGGATGCAACCATCGAAGAGGACAAACCGCTTTTTAAGGCCCTCTGAAAGGTGTTGGAGAGGGAGGAGAAGGTCAAGGAGGCCAGGCGGAAAACCACTATCACGGACCATGAGGTTGTCTTCAAGACAGTCCCTTCCTTGCTTGACACTGATGTCAAGAAAGATCTGGTCACGTATGTGTGTGCTCTCATAGACTGTCACATGCATATTGAACTTCCTGGTCAGGTGTCCAAACTGTTTGACCAGGTGAGTAAACTACAGACGCAGATTGCGAATATAGCCAAGGAGCACGGTGACCAGTTGCGGCAGATGGAAAATTTGCACACGGCTCAAATCTCTACCTTGTGCTGCTAATGCTCCTAATCAGTTTATCCTTGCCCCTCTCCATGTCTCTTCTTCGTCTTCTTTGAGTGTGGTTCAATCGGGACCTGCAGTAGTTGCAGACTCTGCTGTTGCTGCAACAAGTGAAAGCGCATGCAGTTCTGCAACTGTTGCAACCTCAAGTTCGAACACAACAATTGCTAGTCCCAGCTACAACGGCCCCTATGTGGACAGGAAGGCGGTGCAGATACCGCCTTAGTACGACGGCAAGGATGGCATTGAATCTTGGATCGGCTCCATGCGAGCCTACTTTGAGGTGCTGGGAACTCAACTAGTGAGTTAGTATACCTAGCTCGCATAGCTTGGACTTCAAAGAAGCCCCACACGACAGGTTCGATGTTCGCAGATGGCAAATCTGCACATGGCTCAAATCTCTAATTCCCTTCCTCTACTTTCGGGCTCTAATGCTCCTAATCAATCGATCCTTGTCGCTCTTGATGTATCTTCTTCTCCTTCTTTGATTGTAGTTCAATCGGGACCTGCAGTAGGTGCAAACTCCGCTTTTGCTGCAACAAGTGACAGCGCAGGCAGTTCTGGAACTGCTGCAGCCTCGAGGTCGGTTGCAGATGCCACCTAAGTACAACGACAAGGACAACATTGAGTCCTAGATCAGCTCCATGAGAGCCTACTTCGAGGTGTTGGGAACTCGATTAGTGAGGGGATGAAGGTCGACCCTATCGTACGGGGCTTCTTGGAAGTCCAAGCTATGCGAGTTGGGTATACTAAGATCAATCTAACACAGTGGCTTAAAGCCACGCTAGTGGCCACACTCGATGACATTTTAATTAAGCAACATAAGGATCCACATGTTGCAAGAGTAAGGAGCAACCTTTGACCTTTATCATAGCAAGTGGCCGTGTACGATGCACAATCTGCAATTGTATGTTAGCAACTCTTTGCTACTCTCGGGTTGGACATGACTGCACAGTCATGTTTGGATGTTCTGAAAGGTACGGTCCTCGCTACTTACACACATGGCCTAGGCAATTATCTCATTGGGTACACAGATTGACTTTCCCTCATACAGGATGTAGTCAGCCTCGAGGCACAAGGCCTCGATTCCACAACAGGCGACAGAAAACCCGCAGGCGGCAGGCGTTTTCGAGGCAGCAACTGTTTTGCTATGCATGCCCTGTTGGAGGCCTACGAGGAGGCCTATGCAGATGATACCACTCTTGGTGACAACCAAAAACTTGACACTACTATAACCTATTCCTCTTCAGCCTATGAGCCTGAGATTAAAAACGAAGAAGAAAAATTCAATGCCTTTAAAAAGACTGCCCACACAAAGGGACCAAACCGAAACTCAAGGAAAAACTTTATCCCACTCCCCAAAAGAGCCAAATCCCAGCCAAACTAGAGGATACATCAACCAAACCTTGGTTTGATCTTCGGATCAGCGAAAACGATTGGAAGGCTAAGATGAAGAAGGGAGTTTGCCTGCATTGCCAAAAGTTGGGACATAAAGTTCAAGATTGCTACAAGCTGCAGGGAAACCAGAACAGGGCGTAGAGTTGTTGTCGGCACACTCTACGACAAGGGAGACTGCACCGGTAAGCGGAAGTTCCTCTAAGCACCATCATCTGCTGATTCCAAGGATGGTGCTCCTTTATGTTGAGACTTGGAAGAAACTTCAGGAGATTAAACTTCCACTACCACCTAAAGCATTGGGCCGAGATGAAACAACAACGTGCTCAAGGGACACCGAAGTTGATCTTCTTCAAACTTATCACTAACTATCGTTACCTTCGTGCTTTGGCCATTTTGGTGCTACTGCTAACTCTCCAAATGGAGTTCGCAAAGTGGGTTTGGGAATGAAGCAAGTGGAGTTGCAGACCCCTTGCCGGACCCAAGTAGGCAATCAAAGAAGTTTGTCATCCACGCATGTAGTCAAAGGTGTGCACATATCTTGCCTTGACAAGTGCCCCTTCAACACAGTTCTTGGATTGGGCTGGTTATAGTCCCAATGCAAGAGGACTGAGTGGAAGGAATCACTCTTCATGGTCCTAGATGCTCAGGGGAATGAGTGT